AAAATAATAAATATTTTATTATTTTTTCATATAACAATAATGTTATATTTAAAAATTTGACAAAAAATTATTTTATACATATAAATAATAATTCTTTAAATATTAATCATTAACCATTATATAAATATCGGAGATATATATATTAAAATAAATAATATGAATATATAATTAAAAAAAAAATAATAAATGATTTATGATTAATTTGTTACGTAAATTAAAAAAGTAATAAATTATTATATAATTATTAGAAAAAAATACTAACTATAAGCAGATATGTGCGATATAATTTACTCGAATTTGTAAATTGTTGTCGCCATATTACTATTTTGAATTACGGATCTTTTTTAAATTTTTGCATTTGTTTAAAAATTTATTAATATTTAACGTATTTTCACCACGTTTGTATGCTACTTAAATTTTGATATATATATATATATATATATACTTATACATGACTATTAGTTAATTTAAAGGTTATTTTACTACATAATATAATATGAAAATCGATGTTATAATATAATTCACAAAATTTAAATTGAGAACAAAATAAAATTTTGTTAATATTGTGATTATATTCAAATATTGAATTGACTAAACAATAATTGAATATGAAAAAGTACTTTGTGGTGCAATGATTTTGATATCTTCTAATATTGATAGTAATATCTAATATAATATATTATTATAAACATATATTGTTATAATTTTTATAAGTAATATATTTCTAATGTTATAAAAAAGGAAAAATTTCGAATCATTAAAGAAAAAAATGTTATAAGAACTTTTTAAAAAAATTCTAAGATATAAGAAAGGATATTTCTATGATAAAGGTTAGTATTATGTCACAATATTTAAATAATAGTTATTTCTTCTTGTAAAATATTTAAATATTTATATAAAAATATTACATAAAATATTTTTTTCATTAGATATGCAACAATTAGCAATGCATGAAGCAATCAAACCATTAGCTTGGTTGAAAGGTATATGGAAAACTAGAGAGAATTGTCCTGGAGCTGGTAAATTTCCAACAATTACACCTTTTGAATATCATGAAGAAATGAATTGGCATTCTATTGGTCAACCAATGTTAAATTATGTTGCAAAAAGTTGGGATGCTAAGACAAAAAAACCATTACATTATGAAATGGGTTTTTTAAAAATAATACCTGGTACAAATAAAGTACATTTAATTTTATCTCATAATTTTGGAATAACAACAATAGAAGAAGGAATATTTGAAAATGAAATTATTAAATTAAAATCAACTAATATAAGACGACCAACAAAAGGGGCAAATTCACCTAAAGTAACTGAGGTATAATTATATAATTATTTACAAAAAATAAATTAAAAAAAATGATAATATATAATTTTAAAAAATTATTTAAATACAGATTCAAAGAGAATTTAAACTTATTGGAGATTGTCTACAACATACATTATATATGGCTACAGAAAAAACACCAGAATTACATGAACATTTGTGTGCAGTCTATATTAGAAAATGTGACGATGTTTAATAAAATGTAATAAAATGTAATAAAATGTAAAAATGTAAAATGTAAAAAAATAATATTTAAAATGTTTTTATTATTATATAGTTCCAATAAATTTTTAATAAAATAATTTTTATAAAAAAATCAGAAAAATATAAAATATATTACAATAAGAATTTAATTTATTGTATATGTAAGAATTTAATTAATTATATACAATAAGAATTTAATTATTAATAAATTTAATTTACTTGATTCAATATTTATTTATTTATTTTAATAATTATTTTTTATTTCCAAAAAATTTATATAATTTTGTGATAAAAATATTTATTTATTCTATATAAAAATTTATTATTTAAATATAAATAAATTTACATTTAACATTTGACTTTTTAAAAATGAACATTTTATTTTTAAAAATAATTGATAATAAATAATAAATGTATAAATAGATTTTTTTTTTATTATTTTAATAAAATTTTTCCTTTTTTTTCGCAAAATTAATTTTATATATTTAATATAATATTTAATAATAATTACTTTAATAAAAATGAATTAAAATTTAGATTAATGTAAATATTATTTTAAATAAGATCTTTTATTTTTAATATTTTATATTATCAAATTAAAATGAATAAAATTTTAAATAAATATTATTGCGTGAGTTATTGCGAGAATAGGAGTAGGGACAACACCTGCGTGTTTACTTGCTGTAACACCCTCAACTCTATCCATTGCACAACATCAAATACGACAGTCGTTCATAGTACCGAACCAAAGAAAGATCGTTACAATAATTCTTGTTATGGTTATTTAAAATAAAATAAATTTATATTACATCGTTATATTACATAAGTAAAATATTTAATGAATTTATTGATCACTTGTTTCAATTATTTAATCAATAATTGAAATGGTTTTACAAAGTATCAAAGTAAATATTCACTATTTATAAATTTAATGTTTATTTGTTACATTATATATGGTTATATAAAATGTTTACTAGTTATGCGAAATATGTTATATGTAAATATTGTTTATTATTTTCAATTTTATTAAAATTTTTCGTAATAAGCGCCAAATATCGAATGTCGATACAGTCGATAACTTAAATTTTTGAATTAATTTCAAGTTGAATTATAAATTGTTATTAATTATGACATCGTTTTACGATAATCATGATTATTATAAAAAAATGTTGGAACTACAAGAAAAGTTGCGAAAAAGGTAAGTATATTTTTTTATATAAACAATATAGTAACAACATATTGAAATTTATTAGTAAATATAGAATTGTAAATGATAAATAAATAGATTATTATATATGTTTCCGAATAATTGTTACAGTGAAGAAGAAAGAATAAGATTAGAAGAAAGATTCAAAATACTTGTACAGGAATCTCGTAATAGGTAAAACTTCAAAATTATTTACTTAAATGTATTATTATTAAATCTACTATTTTTATAAATTATTAAAATAAACATTAATTTACTAAGTTTAATATATAAACAGAAAAAAGTATTTTTAAAAACAATATTGCATAGTGGCAAATAATTGTCTCCTTATCGATTATATTTCTGTTTTACGTAATAATAATAATGATAGAATTTTGGAGATTATGTATTGATTAAGAAGTGACCTAGTTTTAAGAAAGTTGTCACAATCAATACTAACTTTGTCTTATAATTGACTTCGAACATGAATTTCGTGTTCTTTATATTTACATTTTGAAATATACTTTAACTTTCAGAGATTGAAAATTTCAATTGCATAAAAATATATAAGAAATGTTTGATATTTTATTTTGATATAATTAATGTAGATATATGAACAAATATAATTATGCAGATAAATATATTATACATAATTTTTTGCCAAAATCGCGCAATGTTCTTCGATCATATATACATATATATATTATGAAGTGTATATTTATATACATTACAACAGTAGACATTCAATAAATTATGATAGATTGACTCAATAAAATATAAACTTGTTTCAATGATCTTATAATTATTGATTGTTTAAATTAATAGCAATCATTCTTTAAAAAAAATTTTTTTTTTAAAAAAGAGAAATCTTTTATACAAAATTATTGATATTTCAGGCATGATGCGTGTATAAATCGATTACGTTTAAGATATATAGAATTTTTAGAAGAACAGCGCACAAGAGATGAAAAGAATCATAAACTTTTTGAAGCATTGGATAAAGTAGATAATAGTCTTACATTGATGACTACAAAAACGGAGAGACTTAACATTCTTAGAGTGAGTTTTTTTTTTTGTCCTTTGTAATCATTTTAATAATCTTAGTATTCTATATAAACAAATAGATATAGATAGAGATGAGAAATTCAATATATATATATATATATAAAACTTTTTCTTAAACTCTTTTACATAAATTAATTCTAGCAAATAATTTATAATATACAGTAATTTATTAATTAATACAAAGTATATGATTGTATAAATATAAAATATTAAATATTTATTTGAAATATGTAATATGTTGTTGAATATATATTGCAACATAGAATATCTCGTTTTTACAGAAACAATATGAATCTTATCTTAATCGTATTCGTACGATTCCTCTTTCATCGACAAGTAATATTAACGATGAAAATATAACAAATCAAGCTGAAGATAAATATTTAAAAAAGGATATCACTATGAAACAAATTTCTCCTGAAGTAGAAAATGTATTATCACCTAAATTGTTGCGATTGAATTCTCAAAAGAATCGATCGATTTCTCCGTCATCTACGTCAGAAAGTCTAATAAAATCGGTTCAAAACACGTCTTATGATTATTATCAACGAAATATACAATCAAATCAACAAAGAAATGATCAAAATATATTGCAATCGTATCCGATAATTTTACAAAACAATGAATTGATTCAACAATTACCAACTCAAAATTTATTGCCACAAAATTTTCAACAAAAGCAATCTTATATACAAATTGATTCAAATTTACATGTTCCATATGTATCATCAAATCGATCGAGTTCATTAAATCAACAAACTCTTTCGCATTATAATTTTAATAAACCTTTATCAGAACAAATGGAAATAGCACACACTATCACGCATTTTATAAATCCGAAACGTACTATCAATGATATATCGGAATGTAAATCCTTGGATATAACTAAAAATCGATATATTCCAATAAATTTACAATACGTTCATTCTACATCAGCTGTACAATCTTCTCAACAAGAAAATAATAAAATATTGTTAAATAATATACAAATGCAGACAAAAGATTTTGATGAACTATCTCCAGTTCATAGAACTATATCAACATCTATAAAACGAAATGATACATCTTCATTAAATAAATCTCTGACGTTATCGAGACAAGTTTCTCCAAATTACTTTTCACAAAATTATTCGTGGAAAAAATCTAATTATTTTAAACCAAAACATAAATTTGTTAGTGATATTCCTGTGCGTTCATTAAAGACTTCAGACGTTGATAACATGATAAAACGTCATAAACATTTTATCCCAAAAATCTCAATTAATACAAGATTGTCGACAAATGCGAAACAATCTGCTATAGAAGATAAACGTAGAACAATGATTGTAGAAAATGAATTAGACAGTTACATTGATAAAATTCGAAAACTTCATTATGACCTTGATACGCAGAGTTTGGAAGAAATTGATCAAGAACAAAATATAACTGATAATATACTTAATATTTCTTCGTTAGATGATAATTCAGGGGATTTTGTTGAATATCAATCGAAAGAAAAAATATCTAAAGAAGTCGAAAAGGTTTTGGCATTAGCGGATGATCTTGCATCTAGAACAGTGGATTTAAGTGTTGCTAGTTCTGGAAAAGAACGTATGAATAAAAATAGAAATGTCGAATTGGTTGAAACCACGCAAAATCATATTCCGATTTTCGAAAGAAACTACGTCGCGTTTACGAAAGACGAAATTAGCAGCGATATTAAGTTACATAAACCAAAATTAGATCTACTTCAAAATATTGAAAATTGTAGGAAAGAGAATATTAATAGTCTAGATAATACTCCAAGACAATCTAAACAGCAATTAATTAAAATGAAAAGCGATGAGCACAATGATTCCGATATTTCATTAGACGATAAAATTATGGAGCAAGATGATAAGAATGTTACTTTAAAAAATACACAAAAAGAAAATTATAATGAGAAAGATAATATTTATATCGCAATAGAATCAAATCTTAATCAAGATTCGTTTGATAATGTCGAGGATTTAAAACCATGGAATGTGGATCTTTTACAGAAATGTGTAAAGGAATAGATTTAACTCAAGAAACTGAAAATCATTTGAACAAGGAAGGATTTGTTATTGATAATTTTAAATTAAACGAGGATAACGTAGAGCAAATTAAATCTTTAAATACTTTAGGGAAAAATACTGTGGAGAATCGAAAAGATGAAAAAAATTGTAAAGAAGATGCGAATGAAAAATATATAGATACAGATAGCACGAAAAATGAATTAAAACAAGAAAATTTTGAATCAAAAGAAGGATTGGTAAATGAAAATGAAGTAGAAATAAATGAACATATTTTGCAACATCAAGAAATAGAATACAAAAATAAAAAATATACAAACAATGAAAATATTATTCAAAATTTAGAATCAACGAAAAATCAAATTGATGATGAGAATAAAATTAACAATGAGCAAATACAAGAATGTGATAAAATTAATTTTGTATCTGATAATGTATGCGAAAATAACAGACAAGAGATAATGATACAAAATGATGAATATGACAATCAAAATTATTTTGAAGATTCTAATCAAACACAAAATTATATGCAAAATTATGAAACAGAATATACTGATTTAAATAAAGATTATGTTATGTATGAAAAACAAAATTATGATCAAAATACATTATATGAAAATAATCAAAATCAAAATTATGATCAAAATATGTATGAAGCTAATCAGAAACAAAATTATGATTCAAACATTTCATATGAAATTAATCAAGATGAAAATTACAATGCAAATGCATTGTATGATACTAATCAAAATCAAAATTATGATCCAAATGCATCATATGAAACTAATCAAGAACATAATTATGAACAAAACACAATGTATGAAAATAATGAAAATCAAGAATATCAAGAATA